TTTCTCATCATAGACTTTTTTTTTATTAAAAAAATTATTATTAATTTACTTAAATTATTGACTTGTTTTTAAATTTTTTAGTAAAATGTTATGCCTAAAATTTTAAAAAATTATTACTTGATAAACATGAATTTAACTTTCTAAAGTGACTTATTAACAAATTTTAAGGAAACTAATAACACCAGCTTTCTCAAAACTTGATACAAGTCATTTTTCTAAGTTAAATTCAAACTTTTCTCTTGCAATTTTTCAAATTCTAAATATAATATTTTACACTTTAAAACTCTACCAAAGATTCCCTAATCATGTTCCCTGCTTTGAAAGAAAAAATGTCTCCCGCTTTGGGACACACGATAGAAATATTCGGCTGGGGTTATTGAGTAGGCTGTGAAATATTAATTACTTCTCTGTGTTTATTTTTAATAATTTTAATTTAGTATTTTTAGTTTTTAAAAGTAAAATTTAAATAAAATTTTAATATATTATATAAATAGTAATTACATTTTTTTAATTGAAAATATACTTAACAAAAAATACCCATATTGAGAAAAAAAACTAAAACCTTACAAGTTACGAATTTGTGCTCTTGTAAATATAAATTTATTTTTAAAATTTTCTTAATTTGTATACATACACATATATTATATTACACTGAGTCTCTTTTATATAAATAATAAAAAAAGACTCTTAAATTGTAAATAACCCTTAATATCATGAGATACATATTTCATTTAAGGATTAATTTAATATAAATTAATACAATTCAAACTATACTAAATATTATCAAAAAAGTACTCAATACTCCATACCGTAGACCATGGTACATTAGATATGATACAGATAAAAAAATATATATAGAAAAATGGAAAATGGTAAATGACGGGTATCCAGTGGAGTAAGGGTGCAGCATGTATCCTGCATACGCGAAGATCCAGCATCCGCCTAGTTGTAAGGTATGGGATTCGGGATTTGGGTGCTGAGTGGGCCCCGTCGATTTTTATGTTTCCCTGTCCGTGCCCCTATAAAAAACTATCACCACGCGCACTGCAAGGTCGATGAATCTCACTCTCATTTCATCACAGTAAAAATAAAAATAAATTATAAAAAAATAAATTAAAAATTAAAATAAAATGAGAGGCTTTCGTCAAATAAAAATTTTTTATTTTGAAAAGCTTATCAAATAAAAGTTAAATAATCTATCAATTATGTAGTTTGATAATAAAATTATTTATATTTTTAATTATAAATTTAAAGTTCAACTTGTAATCTTTATGTAATAAAAAATAAAGTTAAATAAATAAGTAAAGATTTTTTTCTAAAAAAATTATTTTTGTTGAAAAAAATAAATAATAAATTGTGAATTTTAGATTAAGAAAAATATACTATTAAATTTTATATAATTATATGGAATTTTTTGTCCATCTTCTAATGTAAGAAGTGTAAAAAAAAAAAAAAAAAAACATATGGGAAAGATACTCAATTTTAAAATTTTTAAAAAAATATATATAACTAAAATAATTTAAATTAAAATATAGTCAAACCAGATTTTGAATCCGATTAAATTTAAATTTTATTTCAATCCAAAAATAATATTCCTGTCTGGTCCTCTTTTCCCATTTTGTCATAATCAATTAGATCCATAGAATGCTCAATTGACCCCCCCCCCCCCAAAAAAAAAAAAAAAAAAAAAACAAAAACTCATAGCCAAAATAATTTAGATTGAAAAATATAATACAGGTAGGATAATGCATTAAATTGGAGTGCTTGCATAGAATGGTCACAAACTAAAAAATTGAAGAGCGCTCATCTGAGATCCTGAAATTTGATTGGGGCGTGCTTTCACGTAGAGAGAAAGCGCGTCATCTTCTTCTTCGCTTCAAAACTTGCCCGCAACAATTCGTTGAGAAAAAGAAAAGAAAAGATTCATCCATCAGTTGTTCCCAAAACACAGAGAAAATACCAATCCCATCATTCCACTACATTCATCCAAAACCCACAAAATCTAGAACAGGAAAACCACCATGAGAAACCCATCTCCGCCGTCATCATCACCGTCGAAGACGACCACGACCCAGAAAGCATCATCGGCGAAAACTACCAAGAGTACTCCATGTTGCACCAAGGTGGGGTTGAAAAGGGGGCCTTGGACGCCCGAAGAGGACGAGCTACTATCCAATTACATCAAGAAGGAAGGGGAGGGACGGTGGCGCACCTTGCCCAAGCGTGCCGGTCTTCTCCGCTGCGGCAAGAGTTGTCGCCTTCGCTGGATGAACTATCTTCGACCCTCTGTCAAACGTGGCCAGATCGCCCCCGACGAAGAGGATCTCATCCTCCGCCTCCATCGCCTCTTAGGCAATCGGTTCGTCACCATTTTTCACCATTTCATTCCTGAGCATATTACAATTTCACGGTTTCATAGTATTGAAATCTAATTTAGTATATAAATTCTAATTATTCTAGGGTTACTTCTACGTTTCCTGTCTGTAACCCTAACCTATTTTTATCACTCAATCTTCTTGGAAAACTCATGTGATTTTAAATGATCTAAGCTGGGTTCTCTTTGTGGGTTTTGCAGGTGGTCTTTGATAGCTGGAAGGATTCCGGGACGGACAGACAATGAGATAAAGAATTACTGGAACACTCACCTGAGTAAGAAGCTGATTAGCCAAGGAATAGATCCAAGAACACACAAACCTCTAAACCCTGATCAGTCCCCTACTGATCTCAAAGCTTCTTCTTCTAAAGCCAATCGCAATGTCGCCGGAACTTCAAACCCTAAACCTAACAACAACCCTGATTCTTCCAGCTTGGAGGATACATCTAGTGGCAGCAAAGAAAATCCATCTCTAGATCATTATCAAAGTGGGATAACCTCAGGAGGTTTAGGTGGTGGCTATGGGTTCACCAGCTTGCTCAACTGTGATGATTCTGGGGTGGAAAGGGGAAGCAACAACAACCAAGGGCTTAGCAATGAGGAGGAGGATGATATCAACTGCTGCACCGACGATGTTTTGTCTTCTTTCCTAAACTCATTGATCAATGAAGATGCTTTTGCTAGTCATCAGGGAAATGGTATTGGAATTGCACCAAGCTCTGATCCTCTGCGTTCCATGTCTGCAGCATCAGTTTTTGGGTTTGGGACTAGCTGGGAACCTCCCATAATGTCTTCCAACTTCATCCCAAATGATCCCAAAGAGGGTTAACATATAAGAAGCATGAAATATGGAAGCTGCATGCTACTTAATTATGAGCTTATAAGAATTCTAGGGTTTGGGTTGTATCACTTTCATGTATGATGTTTCTACATATTTTCTTGTTCCACTTTGATCATATATGTTATTTTCATGTTGTTGGTATTTAGGGATATGTATTGATATTTGTAAACCACATGAGTGGAACAAGGAATTGATGATAGACTTGAGTGTGAAGCTGTGTTCTTTTATAATTAAGTTTGTTAGTTTTTGTGTTTTATATTTAGCTCTTGTTAATTTCTCCGAGTTCTAGCTATTTCATTTCTTTATTTTTGCATATATCTCTACAACAATGATACATATACTTATAAACAAAAATGTTGTTTCTTAAACGTATATGTGTAACAAGATTATAAGGATTATACATGTTGAAAATGTCAAACTAATGCAAAAATTAACAAATTAATGAGAGGAAACGACTCAAGTGATATTGTTTACTGTTGGTGTAATCTTGTGACGATATATACATATAAGTAAATTTTCCAAAGGAAAATTCTGTATGTTTACATAATTAAGTTGGAGAGAACATGGAAACAAAACAGACAATTACACAAAATTCATACGTACAAATATATATGATGTGTGTGAAGAAATAATAGGGCTAATAGTCTAATACTTATTTTTATCAACATAATATATACTGGCCCTGTATTCTTCTGTTCTTTTTTGAAGTTTAATTTCAAGTGATCCTAAATTATGGAGATAATATGTGTGTGCATGTGCGTCTTGTATTGTCCACCAATAATTGAATTGTATGTGTGTGTTTGCAAGGGATATTTCTCTAAGATTTTGGGGCAGAAAGTAGCCATAATACTACTTAAACTCTTAAAGGCCTGTTGTATATTGAGTTCGCATGGAAAAGAAAAGCTTATGATCATGAATCATGATAGTGGAGCGCCTCTTCATACCAGTTTTACATATATGTGCTATTCTTTGTTTTGGCCATTCAATTAACAACCTCATCATAAGTAAGTAGTACTCGTGCATGCGTATGTTCTTCTTCACATGCAAGTATTGTTTGTCTCCAGTCCTCTAACAAGTTTATGTTTTGATGAGTGTAAATTAGAGATTAAAATTATTTTGAACTATTTCCTAGGAGTTATTTTGGAACCTAATTAATCTTAATTATAAAGTTGAATGGTTTTTGATGTATCTTAAGTAAATTACTAAACAGTTACTTATACATTCATCACAGAAATAAGTATTTTCCAAAAACCAAAATTTATTGTGGTCTTAATCTCTATTGGCATCCACATATATATATATATATGAAAAATTATTGACACATATTCAATTCAACACTTTTTTTACATATTTTCGATTCAATCCTTAAAAATAAGACAATGATTAATACACACTCCGGTTTAACACATTGCAACACACTCATTAAAAAATCATTATTTTTTAGTCTGAAATTAAAGACAGATAAATTTAATGATATAATTATGCACACAGGATACAGGAAACGGTTGAATTGACTATATTTATATTATATTTTTAATTATTAAACCGAGAGTGTGTCAAAAAATATGTTGAACTGAGAGTGTACCAATCATTTTCCTTTAAAATATTATATAAATATAGCTGACCCAGTCAGTTTCTGCATCATATGTACATAATTATATCTTTAAATTTGTTTATTTTTAATTTTAAACGAAAAAATAATAATTTTTTAATAAATGTAATATACAATGTGTTGAACTAAAGTGTATACCAATCATCATCCTATATACCCTTAATGTTAATTTCTTGCATTGCTAATATTGGTGATGCTTGCCCGTAAATATATAGTTATGTTATGTGAGTACGTAAGTTATTTTAGTTTAAGTACTTAG